CTTAAGTGTTTGCTTGTGGTTTTTGGGACACAGGCTATACACTTCTGCATCAAATTAGGTACCTCATTGCTTACAAAAGGGCTGGGGAAACTTAGACCCTGGGGCCAAATCCATTCTTCCTGGGGTTCCAACGTGGCCTGCTAGCATTCTTAAAACCTTGATGTTTCACATAATGCGATCAGTGGATGATTTTCTTACTTTTATATGGGTTCGTCCCATTCTAAATACTTTTCCCTGGGCTTAGTTACATAACTGCAGATTGAGTTTAAAGTGCCTGATTTTTTTTCTTCCACTCTTTTGCTTTGATGTCACCCACTGCTGGAATGTGACACCCCCAAAGATCTCTGAAAATGAATTGGGTTAAGAGTTCCTTGGGTTGCAAGAGTTTCCCTACCTTTAGCCTATACTTTGCTCTTGCTCAGTCTTGCTGATCTTTTACTGAAACCCTTTGGGGACAGTGATCTACCAAGAACGTAATGACTGACAGCAGCAGGAAAGGAATTAACATTCTAATAGAATCCTACTGAATCTGACCTCTTTGGGGGAAAGAACTGAACTGTCTAGGTTATGTTGTCTGTTGTCTAGTAATTATATGTTATGTGCATCATTATTGGTCCAGAAGCACACATTCATGAAAATCTGATGTCTGAATGGAATACTGAGAGCATGGTAATTCAATGTTGAGGTGCTTCCGTTGATTCAGTTATCANCTGACATTAAATTAATGGTAAGCCTTGAGTCTGCCCTGCAAGGCTTCGTTTCTAGGAAGGAAAACTGATGTCCACTGCCAGATTCTAATAAGGCAGAATAAAGCATAAATAGCAGAATTTTAATCCTGCCTTTCCATAAATCTAGTCCCAAGAGGCAGTACTGTCTCAGCTATCTTACTCACTCGATGTTGTTCTATTAGTGTACGCAGAGCCTCTTCATCATCTGGGAGAACACCATGGAAACGAAGGGCCTGCTCAGCCTCAGCCAGCCATTCCAAGAGAACATGCACCACAGAGTGGAATTCCTCAGCCTGTATATGGATAGGGAGTAGGGAGGGAGGAGAATGTTCTGAAAAAGTTCTAGACAGAAAGAATACAATGTCAGAGTCCACCCCCACCCCACCAAATAATAAGCTGGCACCTGGATTCCCAACATCATTTATTAAACTGCAACGAAGGCACATTAACTTTCCATTAAGGAGTCTGACATACAGCACCTCATGGTCAGGACTGTAAAAATGTCATACGCTTTAAAAGAAAAAATGAAAGAAAGCTCAGGGGCCTCTTTGTGCGCACTTTTAAATATATGATTGATGGCACATGTGGAAGTAGTATTAAGAGCAACTTCACACAAATTATTCATAAGATACTTTGACCAATCAGATGAAGCCATGCTAATTACTTCAGGGGATAAAAACTGATGGAAGTAGTATCAAGATATCAGCTTTTCAGAGGGTTACAAGCAGCACTATTATAGGCCTGTCATTCTGCATGATGACATATTCACTCTGTGTTGCTCTCCAGCAATGTGTGAATACAACGGGGGCGGGGGGGAGGGAATACAGTAGCCCTGCTACCCTCCATCACCAGTTGTTGCATCCTCTCATGCACGGAAAATAAAGTATCTGAAATGGAGATATACTACTTTCCCTGATGACTCCTCATGTGAGTTGAAAATTTGGAAAATCAGGGTTCCCAATAATGTGAGGAGTATGCACAGACATTGGAGGTGCTCTGCTTCAGACTGCTGGCCACCACACATCGGAAGAAGACAGAGGAATGGAGGGAGATGGGGCCAATACTCTTCTGCTTCCTTGCAATTTGTTATAATGCACATTACTGAAAAGGGACCTTGTCTTTAACTGGCTTTGTAGGTTTGAAGAGTGCTTCAGAGTGCCTGGAGCAAGCCAATTCTACTCCAAGCAATGCAATATGGCAGTGGAAGCTGGTGACTCTTGTGCCGCAGGGCAGTGAATCCAGCCAGGTCTAATTTTTCTGAACTCTACAACTGTCCACAGTACTGAACTTTATCACCCAATCGTGTTCAGCATTTTGGATCATTCTTTTAAAATTCACACTAAAATCCAGAGTGGATACACCATTCCTAAAATATTGTGGTCATCAACAAACTAAAAAGGGTTGTTCCACTTAAACTATGTGAAAGCCATACATGTACCTCTCTAGGAAAAACAAAACAAAACTGTTTTGTGAGCTGTTTTTCCACTTGTCTACCCATGTGGTCATGCCGACTCTTTGCATATGCAAACCCCTGTGGCGCATGCATGGCATGAAGCAAGTATTCCTTGTCTTCTCCCTTGCTAGGCAGCAGTGATGCTCTTATGAATGCAATTAGAATCCCTATACAGACTTCACTGGACAGAATCAAGTATGTTTATTTTACCTGGTGGAGGGCCTGTTCCAACCGTGTTTGCTTCGAGACAGACAACGCACACACTGTATCCCACCGAGTGCTGAGTTCTTGCATTTGGACTTTTACCCAGGAAGAATCATCACGGCTACTTTCTATCAGTTCACGGGCAGAGCGTTTCAGAGCCTGGATGTTGCTTGTCCTCTTTCCCAGTTCTTTCTGGAAGCCCTAAGAGATACAGAGAGATTGTGCCCTTCTGTTGAGTAAATTATATCTTCCTAATTTATAGGTAAAACAACAACTGCATGTGTGATGAGACATTATTATAATCTAATTTTCAGAAAGTAAATCTAAACTTCATTATTTTGTTTTACAATGTAATCATTTTCATTTCATAATGCAGCTTCATTTAATCAATGCTTCAGGCTCTAGTCTACATTCAGAGAGAAAATTATGTTAACAGTGGCTACATTCAGATGTTACAATGTACCAAGGTTTATTGTGATGAGAATGAGCCTTCTCTCCTAGGCACCCCTCAGGCTTGAGCAGTCCTCAATTTCCCTTCTCACACAGCTGCAAAAAATAAATAAATCTGGAAACACTCCCTTTGGTTTCTATCAACCATAACTTGCTGTGTCATCCAAATATGACACGTTATGATTAATAAGTAGAGTATGTTTGAAATAACCAACTTCAAACAGTGGTTGATGAAGATGACTTGATCATCAAGCCATAATTAAGATAAAAAGTGTCTTAGATTTCAAACACAATGCTTGCTTACTACAATTTATCAATTTTTAAAATTCCCATTTGTTTCTCTTGTGCCTATGGTTGTGGTGAAGAAGAAAGGGGAGAGTATGTGAGTCTTGGAAGGAGAGGATAGGAATATTTCCATCATGCTAAAACATGGTTTATTGTGATATCCAAATGCTGGCATTGTCTTCCTCAGTTCCTTGAAGCTTTGACTAGTACCAGGTGAGCTCAAAACTGATGCAACCTTTTATAGCAGGGCTTTATCATGTCCCTCTTCTCTCCCAAATCACCTTCTTCCTATTGAAAGCTCTTTCCTGCCCTCCCAGACCCTTTCCTGTCCCCCCCCCCAGGGGTCAGTGTATACTGCAGTAATGTATATGTAAATCCCCTCTTTTGTTTCAACATACAAAGGGATGTGTCCATGAGTTGTCTGATTCTCTAAAAGAAACCAGACAGCCCTTAATAATGGTGAACATGCATTCATCATCTAAAGCCAAGGTTGCGTAATCCTTTCATTAGACCACAGAAATCTCAAAGAAACTCAGGTTCTACAAGATTTGAGCTGGATCATGACTCTTTATCACACTAAGCTGAGAGTTCTGTAGAACCAAAAAAGGAACCTTTTTCTGAGATTTCAGTGGTCTGATAAAGGTATTATTCACACTTGCTTTTGGATATTGCACAAGGAACACGCAGCATTTTTCCTTTATTCATGTATTAGAGTTCCTGCATCAATTTATCTATACATTAAACTACTAGGCCTATGACAATACTGTTAATATTATTAGCCACAACGACAGTGGCTTTCTTTGACAAACATTTGAATTCATATTTAATACCCTGAAGGCCTGAGTTAAATTCTTCACAAAGAAATATTCTGAATAAAGGCAGGGTTCACTGGAAACTAATTCTACCGCAAACTTAATTTATGTACCATATCCTAGGGTTTTTAATCTCTTCACTGGATTCATGAATCTTTTCTAAAGTTACCAACTGACCCAGCAGACCTTCAATCAAAATGTTTTGAGAAGCCTGATCAAAAAAATAATCTGAAAATGACTGTAATTTTGTTGCCATTACTTTGTGGTTATCTATTAAGTTCATCACTAAATCAATGTCTCCATGCACAGGCTGATCTTCGGCCAACTGCGGTTCCACTTTGTAAAGCCAATCTATGAGAGCCTGAAGAGCATCAGTAAATTGTCCAGAAAAGAGAAGGGCTTCTTCCAGTTTATTTTGTCTGAAACAGGAAAACAAAACAAACACACAGTTGAGAAAAACATTTCTTACTTGCCATCATGCTATCGTTCTTACTGGAAATGGTTTTTCCAGTAAACAAAATGGACCATAATTTCTATGTTTTTCCCCTTAAAAATTAAGCTGAGAAAAGGATAGGTGTGCTTTTCCTTTTTGTCTTACAGACAACAGTAGCCAATAGAAAATGTATCTCTAGCGAGGACAATAAAGGGGTATGGGTTTCTATGAAAAGCCCTTCCTTCCAAATACGGATGTGTGCACATGTTAATGAAATTCAGTGCACTCTGGCACAGGCAAATGTGTTTCTAGAGTACTTATAGACCTATTGGCACACACACATCCTGCAACAGGTAGGCATCCTTCAGTCTCGAGAGACTATAGTAACGTGCTCTGAATAGAGGTCTTAGAAAAGCATTTAGTGTGGCTGAGAATCCCAATTTGAGAGTGACAATCCCTTCCACACTGAAGACAAATACAATATGTCCCCTATCCAGCTCCTTGATTTTGCTGCTTTCATGACTGCCTCTTTGCCTCGGCCTGCTGGACAAGGGTCTCTTCAAATTGGGAGAGGCCATGTTGCACTGCCTGCCTCCAGGCTAAATGCTCAGATTTATTTATTTATTTATTTATTTGATTTATACCCCGCTTATCTGGCCCACCGGACCACTCTAGGCGGCTTCCAATATAAAATCAGATAATAAAAACATAGGCAAATACATAATAATCAAACAACACCAGTAAAATAAAGAAGGAAAAGTAAGAGAGAAATCAAGAATTGGCTGGAGGGAAGGCCTGAATAAACAGCCATGTTTTTAGTTGGGTTTTAAAGATGCCCAGCGTGGGGGCCGCGCGAATCTCCGGAGGGAGATTGTTCCAGAGGCAAAGAGCCACTGCTGAGAAGGCCCAGTTTTGTGTCTTCTCCTTCCGGGCCTCTCTCAGCATCAGGCTCCTCAGCCTCACCTCCTGATTTGTGCGGGTGATCCGGGTAGACATTGGTGGGAGGAGGCGTTGCGCCAAATATCGAGGTCCTAAACCGTTTAGGGCCTTATAAGTAAGTATTAAAACTTTGAAGTTGACACGGAAACAGATGGGCACCAAGGCAATGCGGCCAGCGTTGGAGAGATGTGTTGGTATTTTCTCACTCCTGTAAGGAGCCTGGCCACCGCATTCTGCACCACCTGAAGTTTCCGTGTCAGCCTCAAAGGCAGCCCCACGTAGAGCTGCCATCAAAGTTTCCCATCTATTGAGGTCCATTCCCAAAGCCTTCAGATCCCACTTGCAGATATCCTTGTATTAAGAAGATCCCTGTGTGAGATGGAGCTGCATACCACCCCAGACAGCCTGGCTCAGCATGGTTGAACTTTCACATCCCACCGAACAGGGAAGAACAAACACACAGTACGCTGAGACATGTTAAAGAGCCTCCACCATTTACTCAAGAGCATATGTGTAAGGCATATATATAGATTAGCAGTCAGAGAAATGGAAATAGGTTGACAAGAGATCAAGTGTTACTATTTTCCTTTCCACTTGGTCAATACTTTTATTTTTTAAATAAAGTGCCTTGTTTCTGGTGTTACCTTTCTACAGATTTTCCACAGACTGTATCCCATTTGTCTCTGAGTTCACTTAGCATATGATCCAGTTTCAAATTGTCATCAGCAAGGGAAGTTTTTTCTTTTAAGGAACGGCCACTTCTGTTGGTGGTGTCATATACAGAATGTTTTGCTCCAAGGGCTTTTTGGAACTCCTTTGAAAGAAATGGGAAAAAGCAACAACAAATATTAAGCACCCAACTTAGAAGACTAAGTAGTTCATTCTCTATGGCACCAAACAGACTGGTTAGGATTTTCACACAAAATGCACATAAGAAAGAAATCTCCTTCACTGGCAGTAAGACAGCTGGATCTCAGAAACTGCTAATGTTTATTCCTGCATACACCTCATGTCTGTGGTGTATGTATGTATGTATGTGTGTGTGTGTGTGTGTGTGTGTGTGTGTGTGTGTGTGTGTGTGTGTGTGTGTGCGTGTGTATGTATGTATGTATGTATGTATGTATGTATGTATGTATGTATGAAATAGATTTCTATACTGCTGCATTAGTATGAAGCATTATTCTGTGCAGTTCACAAAACAGATAAAATCCAACAGAAATGATAGTAAATCAAATAATAAGAGCAATAATTAAAAAAAAACACATCAGTTAAAACATCACAGGATAATATCAAATAATATAAACAAGACAGACAACAGAAATAGTAGCAGGGTCATGAAATGAGTATGATAGCTCAGCAATTTAACCTTTCCTTATGAACTGACTACACTAAATTGTTTGCACTCATATCAATTTAGTCCTGTTTAACTTAATATGGCTGAAAATCATCTTAAGGGAACAATTTCTGCTTAACTGAAAAGTGAACTTCAGTGGAAATTGTAATTCTTTTTTTTTCTTTTTGCTGTTAGCAAAGGAAAGTGATGAAGAGACTAGTATGTACCCTATGTATTGTGTGTGTGTTTAGTCGTTTAGTCGTGTCCGACTCTTCGTGACCCCATGGACCAGAGCACGCCAGGCCCTCCTGTCTTCTACTGCCTCCCGGAGTTGTGTCAGGTTCATGTTGGTTGCTTCGCAGACACTGTCCAGCCATCTCATCCTCGGTCGTCCCCTTCTCCTCTTGCCATCACACCTTCCTAACATCAAGGTTTTTTCCAAGGACTCTTTTCTTCTCATGAGATGGCCAAAGTACTGGAGCCTCAGCTTCAGGATCTGTCCTTCAAGTGAGCATTCAGGGTTGATTTCCTTTAGAACTGATAGGTTTGTTCTCATTGCAGTCCAGGGGATTCTCAAGAGCCGCCT